CCTTCAATCTCTGTTTTTGGTGGCCTTTTCTCCATTCACTTATTTGTCCCATTCTCCCCCCAATTTTTGAGCCCTTCTCTTTGGCAGATCCCGTGCAAGGCCCTGGGAGTGCAAAGAAGAGTGAGACATTGCTCTTGCTCTCGAGAGGCAGAGTTCATGAGGAAGACAGACCCATGAACGACTAATTAACAATATTCAGAGATGAATACAATAGAAAAGGTGTCTATGAAGAGCAGAAGTGCAGAGGAGAGATAAAGACTGTCTGGAGGAATAAGTAAAAGGTTCACAGAAGATGTGGCATTAAACCTGGAACTTAAAATTTAAGTCAGGCAGGAGAGAAGAAGTGGGCATTTTAGGCCAAGAAGCCACCATGTACAAGGCAAAGTCAGCATGAAAGGGCATGACTTGTTCTACCAACAGGGAGAAGTTAGTTCTGTGTGACTAAAGCCCAGGGCACTTTTACGGGGAAGGGCAGGAGTTGATGCCCAAAAAGTAGGTTGGGGCCAGATGCGAAGGATTCTATATGTTGGGCAGAAGTTTGAACTTTTTCCTGATTGGAAAGCAGTCAGAGGTCTTGAAACACAGATGTGGCCTGGTTGGTTTGGGGCTTTACAAAGACGCCTTTGAGGGCAACGCGAAGCAGTCTGTCTGTTACCCCAGGAGACCAGGTGAGAGGAGTGTCAGACCCAAGGCAGTGGGGCTGGAGAAGGAGGATGGATTGGAACCCATTTGAAGATAGACTTGGCAGAAGTGAATGCACATTCAATCAGAAGTGATTAAATGTAGATCTAGAGGGAAAGAGAAAAACTTCAGGTTGTAAATGGAGTATCTGGGTATTTTCTCCAAAATCTTTTAGTAGAAGATTGAATTTACCTAATCTTTTAGATGACTACTAAGACACATATTAACTCTCCAATTTGCAAGGTAGTAATTAAAAAAATTAATCTAAAGGAACCAACCATCAGCAAGCATGTCCTTTTTTTGGACAAAGAGGCTTTTTGGTATTTGAAATCGTGTCATCTACTTATCTGTCACACGCACGTTGCTGGCCCTCTTCAGAGGGAAGTCCAGGCCCTGGGGCAAGGCTGCTGGAGACTTTCTTGCTTTTCCTTCCAGGATCCCCGAGTCAGAGTGAGGAGAATGTCTTGGGTAAGCCCGGGGTGAAGGATCCATGGGGAGGGGCAGTGAGAGAGAGGTATACGCTTATGCTCAGGGCAGCCTTCCACAGCCAAGCCACAACATTACATTGTTGGGGAGTAGTCCTAAAAACTAATGTTGTTGTCGTGGTTCCATCTTAATTTTTATCAGCTGGATATGGATGAGGCTTCATTGTTGTATACTTAATGCTTTTGCTCAGATCTTTGGCTAACTGATGTTTTTCCATGACTTTTTGACAGTTATTTTTGTTCAATAATGAATAATAAAGTGAGCTTTACCATCTGTATATGACAGCATTTGTTTTATTTTGACATTTCTTTTCTAGACAGCAAAGGTTTTATAATTAGGTTTTTCCTCTGCCAAAAACATGGCTGAAAAACTATTTCCCTGGAAAAAAAAATGTTCCATAGCTTCCTTTACTAGCTGGAGTCATCTTATTTTGATTTGGAAGTTTTTTCAGAAGTCAGTCCGGAAATGAAACAAGAAAAATTTCTCTTGAAAATTAGTTCTTAACAAGAACAAAAATTAACTTTTGCCCAAGAGAAAATTAGGAGGAAAAATGAAAAGAAACTTGTTTGAAATGGTGGTGGTTCCATTGTCTTTGTAAATTTTAATTTATGTCAGACTTCAGTGAGCAACATAGGAAATCCCTTTTCTACCTGTTTCAAATGAGCTGATTTTATTCTTTCTGTTACTCTGATCAATTTTATGTCCAACTCTTTGAAATACCGGCAAGACTGGACTAGAACTAATAGACAGCACCCTATTTCTCAAAGGCCTGAGTTTTTGGATTCTGCCCCTTTGCTGGTAAGTGGCGACGTCAGCTGGGTGCCACCTGTGGAGATACAAGCCCCTGGCAAAGCTGAACTGCCCTCTTCATGCAGCGAAGTCTGCACTTGGCTCCGTGACAGGGCAGCCCCAGAGGACAAATTGCAGGTGTGTCAATTAACAGTGCTTTCTCTCTGGAGTGCTCTTGAAAAAATGGCAGAGGAAGCCATGTTGATAACGGATGGTAGAATAGCTTATCATTGCTGATGGCAAAAACATCACATGAGCTAATGGCAAAAACAGCCTCGCTCTCTGCATCAGCGCCCTCCCCCAATAAGGTGTGGAAACACCTTCCAGCTCCTACTGTAGTAACAGTGGCCAAATTCTCTTTACAGCCCAGAGTATTTTCCTTTCTGAGTCATACCTAAAGGGCTGCTCCTAGAATCAGATTCCAGACCCAGCCACCCTTATTCTCATCATCTCCACTCTTATTTCTACCACCATCATCATCCAACATTTTTGTATTGAGCACTAACAACTATGTGGAACTGAAAGAGACATTATATAATATTTCAAAGGAGTGTATCCATTTAAAATGGAGACAACAGGCATCTTCTACACAAGCATTGAGCTAGTATCATTTACAGCAATCCAGACAACAGAGCAACATAATAGTGCTGTTTCAGCCATTCTTGACCTCACAGCTAGAGTGTAAACATTTCTTTCCAGTGTATTTCTTTTTTTTTTTGGCTGAGGAAGATTTGCCCTGAGCTGACATCTGCCTCCAATCTTCCTCTTTTTGTGTGTGAGCCACCACCACAGCATGGCCACTGACAGACAAGTGGTGTAGGTCCATGCCCAGCAACTGAACTCAGGCCGCTGAAGTGGAGAGCACCAAACTTAACCACCAGGCCGCTGGGGCTGGCCCTCCAGTGTATTTTTGTATCACATGAATGGCACCTTCTTTAAGTTTTGATACATTGGGTATCGGTGACTAATACTCTGTGAAGTATGAGGAACATGGAGGAATTCCCTCTGTCTAAAGATGGTGTACCTTGTTTTGAATCTACAGGTCTGCTCATGTGAAATAGAATGTGTATTTAATAAACTAGCTTGGGTGACTGTTTGGGCTTTGAGTTTTTGTCAAGAAGAGATGTGAGGTTTAAGGAAAGGTTCTTGTAAGTCTGTGACAGCAAACGAAGAGATTGATAGTCACCCACCCATGTGCTGCAGAGTTGTTGCCTTCATCTGATGTAGCTCAAGACTCTACTCCCTCCCCTTCACAAGGCACAGAAAAGAACCGAGGACCTGGTGTGTTAAGGGCTTGATCAGAAGTCTCTTGGGCAGTAGAGCCTTGAATTTCCTACCGACCAGCAACAAAGGGTCCTCTAAAGGAATTATCATCACCTTGAAATAGCTGTCCTTCTGCTGTGTCATAGGAGAAGTGTACACTTTGCTGAGATTCACGGTGCTTATGGTTTTCATAGGGAAATGAAGCTTTATGTGGCCCATAGGTATAAAACCCACGCCACACCAGGGACATCAGGAGCATGGCACAGTGGGGACAGAAGATACCTGGGGAGTCACACAGGTGTTTCACACCTGGTGTTTGAATCCTGGCTTTGCCACTTATTAGTTATTTAGCCTTTTCAAATCTCATTTGTGGGAGTAGGTGACAAAACAGTTATAATGCTAGACTATTTGGGTTGTTGTAAATATTAGCTGCCATTTATTGAGCATTAGATTGTGCCAAGTACCCAGGAAAACAATTGTCATAAATGGTGTCATTTAATTCTCACCATAATACATGAGGTAGGAGTTATTATCTCTACATTAAAGAGGAGGAAACTGAGGCAGTATCTCACACAGCTAGTGAGTGGTTGGCATCAGGCTCCAATTCCAGGTCTGTCAGACTCCAGATTCTGTGAGAGAAAATGTGAAATTAAAGTGATGCCTGGTGCCTGGTAGTGCTTAACAAATATTAGTTCTCTTTCCCTCCATGTGTATCCTGTGGCTTTGATAATCTTGATTTCTGTGTTAGATTTAATATATAGCGTCCTCTAGAGCAGGTGTGCCATCCTGCCCTCATGTGGTTCATTTGGATAACATGGTTTTTAAAAAACTAATTGAAATATAGTATACATGCAAATAAGTGTCATTTAAAATGTGTCTCTTAAGTCACCTACATGTATGCATACTTTTGGAGATAATATGATTCTACAACCTTAGTACACAATAAATATCACTTTTTACTTTCTACAGCTTAACTTAATTTCTAACTCTGAGCCCTGCCAGCTGGTAAGATACTTAAGTCACTCTTATAACTTCTCCTTTGGCTTCACCAATGTCCTCCATTCCCTCCGTTGTCTTGGAAGCGAAACCTTCTCTTCCCTGGCGCACAGCGCACGATGAAGTTTTGTCTTGCCATCCTGTTGAGAAGAGAGGAAATTTTCTTGTGATTATTTTTTCCACTCGCCTGCTCTGTTTACAGAGACATTTAGTCCACTGATGAAATCTTCAACTTTCACACTTAAGAAAGAGTTCAAATCACCAGGGAATAGAATGTTAATTCAGTCACCAGTTTAAATGTTTGAAAATTTTTCCAGGAGGAAAATAAAAATGTCCCCTGTCCCCACTTGTCAGGAGCTTTAGATCAGTAAGCAAAACTCACTCAGGGGTCTCTTTTCCTGTACTGGAGGGGCCCAGCTCACCTGGCTTCATTCTCCTGTGTTACACAAGTTGCACGCATGCGTTTGAAGCCTAGTCATTGACTAGCATAGGGCTCTATCCCAAGCAGTTACCCTCAGGGGATCTCCTTGTTTTCCAGTGGCCCCGTCCATGGAGGAGGTAAAGGTCTTGTGTGAGATATGTGCCGTGCTGCGCTCTGGTTGTGTCTGTGTAATAGAGGGTAGTATTGGGTGGGAGGAGAGTAGTTGGTATGGGAGAGGGTAAGCAGGAGTTTTCTTTTTTAGTTGTTAAGCACCATTTGATAACGTGCATAGAAGTCTTCTGTTCTTAAATGTAGTATGTGATAGTTAACACTGTCCTCATGCCAAGACCTAATTGTGTTTCAGATAATGGAGGGCAGACTTTGGCAGGGGGCAATAACTGGCCCCTTCGAGGAAGGAAATGGAGCCTGTGGGAAGGAGGCGTTCGAGGCGTGGGCTTCGTGGCAAGCCCGTTGCTGAAACAGAAAGGTGTGAAGAACCGGGAGCTCATCCACATTTCTGACTGGCTGCCGACTCTCGTGAGGCTGGGCGGGGGCAGCACAAATGGCACCAAGCCTCTGGATGGCTTCGATGTGTGGAAAACCATCAGGTACCTGCACATGTTTCTCTCTTTCCTCCCAGGACAGAAACTCCAAGAACAGCTTGACTCCACTGAGTGAGAATGATAACTTTTGTTCAAAAATGATAGTTCAGCTTAGAAATAAATGATATTTTTTTTAAAGAAATGCCTTTAAAAATTCTATAATTATGTATATATGTTAGGTTCTGGCTTTGAGATCGCGGGCCTGTGTTTTCCTCGAAGAGCAAGATTGTCCTCAGCCACTCACCTTCTCCGGGAGGTCTCTAAAGTGGAGGAGCCGGGCTAAGAAGCAGGATAGGGTGTTGTTTGCTTCCTGCAGGGGGTCGGGGGACCTGCCCTGTTGCCTGCCAGGAGAATGGAGCACCAAAGAGCTGGAATGTGAGCCAGCGTGGAGCAGCTGTGCATAAGTGTCTAATGAGCACCCACCGTGCACCAAGCCCTGTTCTCGGTGTGGAGGAATTAGGAATGAACAAGACAGGCAAGATCCTGGCTCTCATGGAGCTTGTATCCTAGTGTGTGGGGCAGGAGGAATAAGCAGAAGACTTCCGGTAGGGAGAAGCTGTGACGGCGATGAAGCAGTGTGTTGTGATAGAGAGCCGGCAGATGTGAAGGAGGTACAGTCTGGGGAGCAGAACCCAGACTCAGCTTTGGAAAGGGTGACAGTTCTTCCCTCTTTAGCCACCATGGTGTGCAACAATGGCCCCCAAAGTGGGAGGGGCGCGCCTGCCAGGGCACAGGAAGGCAACTTTAAAATCTGTATTTGTATTTAATTTTATCTCATCATTTTTTAAGTGGGATATATAAGGTACATAATACGTTAGTAAATTAGTACATATATCCAATTTTTAAATAAATATAAATAAGTTTACGTATTTTGGAGGTATTGTTTTTACTGATGGAGTGACAATTGTCCAGTGTAGCACTTTTCAACCTCTGTTGGGTGTTGCAGCAAGAGCGAGTGGCTGATTGACTGGGGCCGTGGGGAGACGACCTCCTCACACTCTCCCTTCTTCCTCATCCCGCTCCGCATGTCCCACCTCAAAGTAGTACGGTCTCTGTTCTTAGGAAATGCACAATGGGGTATTCAGGAGTAAAGGGCCATGATATGTGTCACATGCCCTCAAATGGTTCAGAAAAAAAGTGTGTGTGTACACACACAAACACACAGTGTGTGTATATGTATATGTGTGCAGAGAAAAAGAGAAAACAATGGAGTCAAATATTAACAATAATCTGAGTCAAGGGCGTAGGTGTTCTTTTACTATTTCTTATTTTTGCAACTTTTTGTAAATTTGAAATTATTTCCAATTAAAAAGCTTTAAAAAACAGGAGTCTGGCAACACAGGGCCCATGTTTCCACAAAGCCAACAACTGATGGGAATCAAGGAGTTGCTACCTTCCATAGATGAAGTGCTCATCCTTCAAACCACCAGTCTCCATTGCTCCTAACACCCAAGCAGGCCCACCTCACTCATCCGTGCATATTCTGTTGTATGTGTGTACCTTGATATACTTAACCAGTCCCTTAACTTAGACTGATTTTTATTTTTTTAGTCAATAAAACTGTAATGAATAATTTCTTCATAAAATCTCGGTCTGCATTTTGGATTGTTCCCTTGGATAGAAATGATTTGAAATTAAGTTATTGAGCTCAAGAATGATCTTTTTATTTTTTATTTGTTTTTCTCCTCCTTTTTAGTTCAAAAAGCATATTCTCAGCCTGAGATGTGCTAAATATTTATCTATATTTTCTTCTAAGTGTTGTGGTTTGATTTTTTTTGCA